TGCTAAGAGTAAGTCTCACCCTGCCCACTATGGTGCTGTACTAGTGCTTGCGATAGCTTTGTGCTTTTCTTGAAATGCCTGACAGTCATGCTACATAGAGAAAGCACAATCAGTTTAAAAAAAAATAATAATTTTTTAACTGATCGAGTGCACTGATCTTTTTCCTTTCTAACTTTGCAACATTGCCTATTTGTTCTTGGTTGTTTTTTCTGGTTTTAATCTTACAGTATTAAAGTAAGTAATGCCAAATTTGTCTGGAAAACACTAAAATACTCATGTTTAAAAGACTGTTAACAGTGGATGTCTAATAAAAATATTGTTGCCATTGTATTAAAGGCTTAATGAAAAAAGGCATCTGACCTGATAAATGTGAAAATAACAAAGAAACATTTTTAATAGGAAATAATTATTGTCATTCTGAACTGCATATGCTACATCTCTTGTGCCAAGGCGTTCGTTTGACACATATTCTATTTGTATTTTGCACTCTACTGTGTTTTCAGCCTGTAAGAAATTCATAGATTAATTTTCTCATTAATTATTCCCCAGATTTCCTCCTGAGGTTTTAAGTTCTACTTATGTTACAGCGTCTAATTATCTATACCTAGGTTGCATGTGGCCCTTGAAAAACTACATGTGGCACAGTCACTATAGCAATACAGGGTTGATACGCATTTTTTGATCACATATATTTAAGCACCAATGTGTGAGACTGAGTGCTCTTTTAAAGATACATTCATTGCCTGGGTTTTGTATAAAGTGCTGTGTGTACCTTCTTTCATTTCCTTTTATATTCTTACTTAATATATAAAATTTAGAAAAATTAGAACTAGTGAGACCAGTTATGAAGCAAGCAAGAACACAGATCTGAGGCTTTTCCTGGGAGTATCAGGTAGCAGAGAAAATAAAAAGGTATATAGTGAGCTAAACACAAAAGGAATATGAAAGTTTCTTCTCCATATCAAATATGGGAGAAGAGGAATTAGGGGAAATTAAAGGGATGAACTATAAGTTGATTTTTATTTATTTAGATCTTGATAGAATATTGTGTTTAAAAGAAGTAATTTCTGGTTTTTTTCTGGTTTTATTTGTTTAGTGCCAGTTAACAGAAGTTGTCAGGCTCCAAAAATCACTTTCTGTGAAGATTTAACTTTCCAGGCATGTTGAAGTTAAAACACTTTTGTTTATTGACCATTAATTTTAAAATTATTCCATATAATTTTCTAGATTGTAAATAATACATATATCTGTGTACAGTGTATGGCTGTTTCAAGCACGTAGGGATATGGGAAGGCTAGGGGTTATAGCCATAGGGGATTCGGTACAGTTTGGGGTACTAACATGACCCAAATGTGATCTTCAGAATTTCACTTAGAAGTCCTGAAAATAAAAAGACTACATCTCCATTACTTCATTTATTTTAAAAATTGGATACCACTATGGGTAGTCACACTGTATCTGGAGTTTTGGCAGGGCTTTGTTTTTTGCTATGAAATTTCTGCTTATATATAGAACTGCTCAGGAATTTCTTCCTGCCCTCCAGAGCTCAAATAAAATGATCATACAATTTTGATTCAACTTCATACTTGAATTTTATTAGGCACAGTATCACTTTGTTCACAAAATTGTCTTTGCTAACTTCATTAGGTCTTGATTGCTTTTCACTGAGTCGTGAAAGGCAGAATGTTTCTGGAGTTTCTAAATGTAGTTGTCTGAAACTTTCTCAGTGAAGGCCCTTGCTTATTGGCAAATTTGTCCATTTTGACTAAAAAATAATCAGAAATCTTTACAAGGAGACCTAATGTCATTGCCATTTGGGAAAAAATTAAATTTAGGAGTCCTGTAAATAGAAATTTGTTTAACTTAAAACACTACTGATGTTTTTGAGGGAATAAAAACAAAACTATCTGTTTTTATCTTGTAGTAAAAAGCAGTGTGGATTCTGAAATGTGTTATTGATTTGTTCTGAAGCTGAATTGCAGAGAAATCCCACCCTGAGTCTTAGTGGAATAAATCCCCAAGTTGGATAAAAGTTGCCTTAGGTTGTTTGTCTGCTCTAGAGTAACTTAGTGCTGAAGTTGAGAGACAAGAAACTTCACACTATTGTGTTCACTATACATGCCTGTTCTCTGCAACAGCCTTCAAATACCTATGTTAACACACTGTGTGTAAAGATTGCATGTTAATTGGTTTGCTAAAAATTAGTGTTACTGATGCAACAGTGTGATAATGTTACATGTGATGCTCTTCTGTGTATTGTCATTAATAACTGATACAAAGCTTTTAAATTGGATGTAAATGAGAAGGTTTTAAAAACTGGTGAATTCAACATGGCTTTGGTTATATAATGGGGTTTCATGAAGTTCACAAAGGATTTATGAGAAATGATAGCTAATATTGTCAGGCACTGAAAGTAGCTTGGTGTTGAGTAAGCTTAGTATCTCCTTGTTTTGTTGTGTAAAAATTCTTAGACTTTTCAGTCAAGTATTTCTATCCGTTCCTGTGAAGCTCTGCTGGACAGATTTCTAGTTTCAAAAGCAAACTCGGTATTAATAGGCCTCCGTCCTTTAGTGTTACGGCAGTGTTGGTAACATGCTAGGTGATGGCTGCAATGATTTCAAAGACAAAAATGTCCTCTAAGACAACAAGAACTGAGTGAAGGAAATCTGAGCAGGATACAGTGTACAAATTTTAGAATTAATACTAAAAATGCATTTGTAGCCCTCATTTTTTGTTTATTTTATTACTGTTTAATTCTTTATTCATCTTAACAATTTAAGCGTGTACCCAGTGTGTGCTAGAAACCTGTCTTGGGCTGTACTGGTCATCGGGGAAATGTTATTTCTCTCGAGGCCAGTGGTGCCAGCTTTCTATTAGGTCCATCAGCACAAAGGGGGCACACTGTGTTCCACTTAGCCGTGCATGCTGGAAAGCTAGGCTAATTCCTAAAATGCCTCAATGCTTTGAAATACAGAGTTCCCCTCACCACTCAGCAAGAGAAGCTGTCTTTTTTTTCTCTCCTCCTTACCTTTCAATTATATTTAAGTGAGATTATAATTAAATGTATATAGAAAGTGCTTAGAACATCAAAACCAGGTAATATATGTGCTTATACAAGATGCAAGTGAAGATATGAACAAATACTGGTTGCTCAGTACTGGCTCTGGATTAAGACGGGGTAAAACTGTAGTTAACCAGTGTGAGGCAAGTGACTTCCAGTAGTTTACTCCTCGTTATACTGTAACATTTTCAATAAAAAAAAGTCATAGTGTCCTCCTTCTGCCTGTCCTAATATTTTTATATATATTTGCATGTCTGAAGACAGCTGAAGTTAGGTATGATATTTCAAAACTAATTGGGGTATATCGCAAGGTAGAAGGATTGTTTGCTGCTGCTGCTACTTTTAATGGAAACATGAGAGCTAGTTAAATACCACTGGAATGGTCAAGAAACTTGTATCAAAAAGGCTTGTTTCTTTTTGTGCTGGAACATGCATTGTCTTCTGCTGTACAATTTCAGGAAGGAGGGGATGTGGAATAATGAATTTTTCAGTGTGTTTTGAAATTTCAGATGTTCTCACAATTCTAGTTAAATGGATCTCTTCTTTATGGGATATTGCAGTTTGTGACTCACTGCTCCCTCCACTGTTACTTCAGGTAATTCACAATCAATCTGTCCCTGTGATTGCAAGAGGACAGTTGAAAACTGTGGCCACTTTTTTGGTTACGCTGTAAAGCAGCACTTCAGGACTGTTAAAAAAGGTCTGAAGTGCATTAGCAGTATTTTGACCTCAATATATACCTTTGCACAGTTTTAAGAGTCATGTTACTCTAAACCTGTTACTAAACTTGGGACTCTGAGTCCTGGGCAAAGTAGCTACAAATAGTTTGTGTAGCCACTGACCTACCTGTTTTTTCAGTATTTCTGTTAGGCATGTGTTCATTTCTGTTAACTCTGCTCTATTCCTTAGTCACTGTTCCTCTGACATGGTAG